GTTATGGCAAGTTTCGACATATAAATTGAGTTACGGTAAGTTTTGACATATAAAATTAAGTTGCGGCAAATACGCACATTACGGCACACCGTAACTTAAGGCAAAAAGTTATAACTAGTTATAACTCAGTTACGTTACGGCAAATCCCAATACTTCAAGTTCCGCCTGCACCTCTAATCTCGACCTATCAAAATTGATTACATAAATGTAAACAATCTTTGAAGTTTCGTTAATAAACGGGTCATATTTTTATGTATAACCACTTAACCAAATTTAATTTCTATTTATTTTATTTATTAGAAATTTTACTAAGACAAAATCTGTTCTGTCTATCGGTAAAAATTTTGAGCGAAGCTTTTTTGACGACTATCTGATCAAATTCAAAGGTTTTTTATTTCAATTCTGCGAGTGCGTAGAATTGAAATTAAAAAAAAATTCATATTGAATTTGGTCAGGTGGCTATCAAGAAAACTTCCCTCGAGGCTTAGAAACAATCTGTTATCAACCATTAAATATTTTAAGATTTTAGGCAGTTACTAAGAAAACTTTACCTAACATTAGAAAAATCCGTTCCGTCTATTAGCAATAACTTCAAATTTGCTTATTTGTATGCAATAAATTTTGATGGTCGGGCGTATATAATTTCATTGAATTTCATACGATCACCATCACATAATCATAAATTGAGCACCGATTATACCCTTGCATTACGTGCAAATACAGTATTGCTTATAAAAATTTATAATGAAATGACAATACTTTAAGTTTATCATATCGAACTCACTGAGTTATCTTTATTTAAGATACGCTTTGAACTCTTTATATACATGTTTTGTTACTATCAATTACTTTCTGACATTTCCACTCTATCTACCAAATAGGGTCGATATGCTATATCTGCCATATATAGCATATATAGCATATCTGGCATATACGTAGGCCATATCTGGCATATATGGCATATCTGGTCTATATGGCATATATGGTATACAGTATATGGTATATTCGGTAGGTATTACCAAGACCAATTTTGGGATAAACTGACCCAAGCCACCTTAGCGTCGATTTACACTTTCACAACGTACGTACGTACGTACATACGTACGTACGTACGTACGTAAATAATAGGGTAATTAGATGGACAATATTTAAAACTTCATACATTAATACTGATCATTTAGCATTTATTAAAATTTCAAATACAAGTATAAAATAAACATTTTCTTTGATAAAAAAAAAACAATAAAAAATAAAATGAAAATATTTTCTGTTAAGGATAGATAAAAATTATCTAATGATAGGCATATTTGCATATTTTTACACTACTACAAATTTTAAAAATTTTACTACTATGAACTACATGGGCTACGACTTTTTTATGTTTATAAACTATAGGAGATTCTAATAAATAAACACTACCACTAATTTGAACCGGACTATGAACGATTGTTGCATCTGAACTTTGAATTATAGATCGTCGATTATTAGTAGGGTTATCTGAATGAGCGGAATCATCGGAATTAGTATCTTCAGGATTCAATTTAGGATCGGAAGGATCAATGGCATTTTCTCCGGGTTCATTAGCCTGAGGAGTTGTGGGACTTTCACTAGATTCAGTAGAAGGGTAATTTGAATCTGGTTGAGAACCAATTGCGGTTGTTTTTTCTGAACCAGTTTCATCAGGGAGTTGACTTTCGAGTTTATAAAGTTCACCAGAGCTGGGAAGGTCTTCAAACTTAATTTCAGTAACATCTGAAGGTGGTAGAGCATTAGAGTCAGGTTCTTTTTGAGTTTCTGGGGATAAGGGAACTGTTAAAACATGTGGCGAAAAGATAGAAAAGAAGAGCACGAATGAAATCAGGATAGATTTATTAGATGCCATTTTTAAACTTTAAAAGATTAGTGGATGAACGGATGGATGAAAGAATGATTTTTATAAAAGCAGATATTAAGAGAATGAGAATTTTAGACGTGAAGTATATGGCATTTAAATACATTTTCATCGTATGAAAAAATGCCATTTTGTAAACTTGATTTTTTAAAATATCATTAATTCGATTAATTATTAAACTTTGTAAAGTTAGATAAGATTAGAGATATATTATATCAGATATTTTATTAAAAGTTTGATTAGGTTTTTTCCAAATTGTTCATGGATTACTAAATTTAACAATTACGTTTTTGCTAGCAAATTCTAACTCAGGCATTCATTCGGGTCGCTTGTAATAAATCATTATAGATTAAAAGTCGAAAAATTATGATACATTCACATGTAAAAAATTATCATTTTAAAGAAATTGTATATCTTAATTATTCATTTTAAAAATAAATATCTTATGGATGTTAATATTCGGCGATATGAAATATTAGTTACTCTGATCGCATCAAGTGGTTGCCACTGCTCTAAGTACCGTACGGCGCTGACTATAGTATCCCCTGCTATAATACCCCCTATGAAAAACACCCGGGTACAATTCATGGGTTCGTGATTCAGAAGATTGAATAAGACCCAGGTATTATTCTAGTTAGATATATATAATATTTATATTTGAGTCCTTATTAAACTAATATTAAACTATATAAAGTACCCCCTGTTATAGTACTCTCCCCGTAATTACAGTAGTATCCGGGAGGGGTACTATTCAAGAAATTTGATGGTTGATTGAATAGTACCCGGGGTACTGTAGTCAGCGCCGTACGGTATTGGTGCTGAGAATTTTTTAATATCTGATAGATTACTAATTTGATCATTTATTCTAGTGATTTATAAATAATTTACAGATTTCTTCTTTATCATCATTTTATTTTATTTTAGTAACACCCAGGTACAGTATCTAGAGTATGATACCTTGCTGTAATCCGCTGAGGTTAAGTTGTTTGCTCGATTTAATATCAATAAATTTTACTCAACGTATCCAAATATTGAATGAAAGATGATTAAATCATTTATTTTGAACTGACGAGAATATTGATTTTATATTTCCGTGCCTGCACACATTATTCAGTTAGTTGTTTACGATTAACTCCAAATACGTAATGATTTGTACCTTTGTATGAATATGGATGATTCAATGTTATTCGCTTTGAATAAGCGGAGAGTTAGCATTAGGTTAAATGGCAAAAAATTTTTTTATTAGATAGTTTATTACACTTTGATATTATGTGTTCTTTTACATCCCGTAGGCATGATTGGAACTTACTGATTTCTTATTCGAATAACTTAAAATCGGCAAATATTTATTCGAATATTCGCCGAATGACTAATATTATTCGAGTAAGTACTATTTATTCGAATAACGTATAGTTTTTGGATACGGTGCAGCTAATAATATATAGTCATGTGAACCAGCCAATGACTGAAGTTTTACATGAATAATAAAAATTATTCGAATAAAATTTGTCTATTCGAATTATTCATTAGATAATTCTTTATTCGAATATTCGCCGAATACGAGATTTTGATCGAAGTCATAGCCGGTGTTGAATTTTTAATTTTCTTTTGAGATCGCGGTACACCCAATTGTATAATCTATTTGTAAATGTATGGCAAAAGCTATATAAAAAAATAATTCTTTTTTCGTTTTGATAAAATTATTACGGATAGTGTTGATTACCCTATAGGCGGACTTAAACAATCTATTGAAATAGTGGCTATTCGAAACTATCGTTCTTGATTCACATTATATTATTCGTGGTAATTAAAGTTGAAGTATCAAAAATAACAATGCCACAGTTGGTCTTAAATATTTAATGGGAATATTATAAGTAGTACTAAACGGTAATGATTAAACAAATTATTTATGTTCACAAATGTGAACATAAAGTAAAAATCTTTAATTTTTTTAAAAATGAGCGAGAATCTTCACTTTTGTGATTAGTTAAATTGAATGATGAGATTAAATAAAATTTGAGCCAATAATATATATGATATCGTGTGATTACTAAGATTAAAGTAATTATTTGCTAGTGTTTTAAAATTGCTTATTAATCGCCTATGAGTTACTTATCAGTTACTTATCGGTTTTTATGAGTAGTGCCCTGATAACCAAAGACAATCCCGAACTGACCTGATTATTTTATAGTTACAACAATCCACTAAAAAATTTCGCCCATATGCACAACTTCCAACACTGGTTCACATGGACATTGGAATTATTAATTACATCTATGAAAATTATCCCGGCTGGAATTCGAATGGGATTTTCTTGTCCGTCTATAAGATATGTTCTTGCTATTTTTTGGTAGATTCTTTCGATTTTTACTGATATGTTATCACTAATAATGATAATATTAATATTATCGTCCTTGTATGAGAAGTTTCCTCTAAACATAGTAGGCGAGAGGCTAGAATTTTTAAAAGCGGAATAGACGGTTTGGATGAAACATGTACAATTTTATGTTAAACTAGGTCCCTAGTATTACCAATCTAAAACATTTCGCTACCGACGTTAGGGTTAAGGTTTTTGTGTATTTTGTATGTTACATCTGATCTTGAATTTTAATTATCAGATAGCGAAATTCTTTTAGGTTGGATCAAAATTTGTAAATACCTATAACGTATGCTCAAAAAATTTGTCTATATCAGACGCCCGATTTGTCACATCTAAAATTTTATCATATGATTTTCATTCGTCACACAAATCGACGAAGTTACAGTTTTAAAATTTTTGCCTAAACCTTTATTTGAAATACATAGTGTTCCTTATGA